GCATATCTAATAAGTCAAAGGCGGAGCTAGAAAATGGAATACCCCCGAAATACTCAATGTATCCAAATTAAATGGAAAAAGGGGGTGGGAACAGATGTGACAAGTAGGAAAAACAAGATCGTACACTTAATGATAATTACATTAAATGTGAATGGTCTGAATGTTCCCTAAAAGGCGGAGGTTGTCAATCTGTATAAAAAAGGATTAAGTATACCACAAAAGCACTTTTAATAGAAAGACACAGGTAGGTTAAAATAAAAGGATAGATTAAAATAGACCAAGATACACTAACCATAAACATGCTAGAATATGTATATATTATCAGACAAAGCAGATTTCAGGACAAATAATATTTCATAAATAATAAGAATCCATTCATCAAGAAGACACAAGAATCCTAAATGTATATGCACTAATAAAAAGGTTTCAGTTTTCATGAAGTAAAAACTGAGAACCAAAAGGAGAAATAGACAAACCTGCAATTCTAATTTGAGATTTCAATCTTCCTCTCTCAATGATCAACAGAACAAGTAGAGAAAAATCAGTAAGGACATAACAGACTTGAACAATACTATCAACCAACTTGACCTAATTAGCTTTTATAGAACACTCCACCCAACAGCAGCAGATTCAGATTCTTTTCAAGCACACAGGAACCATTCATCTAGACAGACCACATTTGGGTCAAAAACAAGCTGAACAAATTTCAAAGGAATGAAATGACAGAATCTGTTCTCTAACCACAGGGGAACCAAATTAGAAATCAATAATAAAATGGTATCTAGAAATGTACCAAATAGTTAAAAATTGAACAATATACTTCTAAATAACCAGGGGTATTTTGGGAATTGAAATATGAAAAAAAAAAATCTGAGATCTTGGTGGTAGTAGCAAATAAAGAAAAAATTTGAGAAAATAATATCATTAATATTTGTTATTTCAAATTAGAAAACAGAGGTCCGAAGTGGTTCTGTTTTCGAAGTGGTTCAAAGTGACGTATTTAAGATTTGACAGTGAGAATGCTCTCCCCAGGCACAGCGCTTAGTACACACTGACCTGACTCTGGTTGTTTCACTAGATCTTTTCCTCCCTACCAGACTGTGTATTCCCTGAAGACATGGCCGATTCCTGTATCCCTGCATTGCTCAAAACATAAATATGCATTCAGTCAACGATAAATAAACAGTATATGGATAATGGCAAAGCAAGGACCTGAATGTCCAAGGCCCAGGGCAATGTATCCAAGAATCCTGAATCCAAGGCCCAGGGCAATGTATATTCTTTTATACACGTAGACTGGTAGAGAGCAAGAATTACTGGCTGTGGAGTCAGACAGGACTGATTCATATCCAACTCTGTTATCTCTTAGTTGTGTTCTACTCAAGTTACTTAATTTCCCAAGTTCCTTGTCTATGAAATGGAAAAACAATAACAGAGCTGAGGTTGGGATCTGATTGCTGAGTGGAGAGTTGTCATTCCTTTTGGCTGCCAAAGATCTAGCCTCCCTTCCATTTGGTGTTTGAGAACTCTCCATCTGATGCATTCGAGCCCTCCTCTTATCATAAATCTGGAAAACACCAGACTGCCAGCAACTTGAGCATGGGCATGGGACTGAAGCTCCCCAGTAAGGCGCACCTATCCTGGATTTCAAATCAGAGGCCAGTGATGTGGACAGTGGGAGTCACACAGAATTTGGCACCTGCAGTTTTCAGGGGCAGCAGGGCCAGCTGTTCTAGAGCTGTACTGACCACCTGAACTTTCTGTGATAATGGAATGTTCCACAGTGTGACAGAGCTAATGTGCAGAAATCCCTCAGAGCTGTGCTGGCCATTAGGGTAGCCACTGGTCACATATGACATGTGCTGGTCACATATGACTAGGGAGCACTTGAAATGCGGCTAGTGCCACCGAGGAACTGAAATTTAAATTTTATTTGATTGTAATTAATTCAAATTTAAGTAATCACATGTGTCTATTGGCTCCCATATTAGATAGCTCAGTTCTCTAGGCAATGCCCAGGGCCCAGTGTTGGTGGTTTCGGCTGTGTAAGCTGTAGGTCCAGGTTCAGAGGTGGCAGCATAGGTGTTCTAATCTGTCTTGCAATAGATTTGGGACATTATTCTTGGCTGGGTAGTTGCCAAGCCCAGTTCCCTGGTCTTCCGTTATGTTTTGTTAAATTCCTTTTCTGCATAAACTCCCAGGTGGGTTTGTGATTCTTGTCACCAAGAATCCTAAGTGATTCACATACAAATGAGAATGTGCAGAAGTGATTAGCACAGCTCGGGAGGTGCTGAATACATCGTCTGCATCCCTTTCCTAGGAGTCAGTGTATGCAAATGCTAATTATAGGATGTGTACTGTGCTGTCCATCAGGATTCGGTGACAGTATCATCTAATCTGGGGTCAAGGAAGGCATCAAGGCCTCCAGGTCAGCTCCAGGCCACCTCTTATAGTGTGTTCTTTAGGTTAGGGTAGCATTCAGGATACACAATATACCTGCAGACAAGGGCTCAAAGAAATAGTGCACTCCTAACTCTGCAGGGGACAATGGTATCTATTTTTAGTCCATAAACCCTAGATTGGAGGCCTCTTTAAGGTTTTACCTTTCCCAATCTGCATGGCCTAATTTAAATTCTCAGTTCTTGAAAATGAACAAAATGTAAAACCAAAAAAACCAAGTAAGTGCAATTTATTGCGACATGATTCATATCCCAGATGGACTCATGCCCCCTATTAAGGCCGAAGTGAGATTTACACATTCAGAGTCAGGTGTGGCTGACAGGTTACCAGGGCAACCTGTAGCTCTGCAAGAGCATGCTGCGCTCCCTCCTGCCGCTTGCAGCCGGGGATGGAAAGAGTGTCCATCTGTTTGTCTGAGGATTAGGTTTGTGCAACCAGTTGCAGCTCACGGGGAGGAAAAAACGCTTTCACTACAGCTGCCTACCCAGCGTGAAGCAACGGGCTCTGGAGTCAGGATATCAGGTTTGAATTGCAGCTCCACCACTTAGCTGTGTGTCTTGATATATAACATCTTTGACCTTCAGTTTCCTCAACTCTAAATGGGGATATGAACATTTTGTAATATTGTTGGAAAGATTAAATGTGTTCTAAAGTATCAGGTACTTTATAAAGTATAATGGGCATGAAATAATATTATCACACGTTATGTTACCCAATGCACATGGAAATTAACAATGAGAGCTGGGCATGGTGGCACATGCCTATAATCCCAGCACTTTGGGGGGCTAAGGTGGGAGGATCCCTTGAGTCCAGGAGTTCAAGACCAGCTGGGCAACATAGTGAGATCCCCATCTCTACAGAAAAATTTAAAAATTAACCAGGCATGGTAGCGTGCACCTGCAGCCCCAGTTACTCAGGAGACTGAGGTAGGAGGATCCTTTGAGCCCAGGAGGTGGAGGCTGCAGTGAGCCATGATCACACCAATGCACTCCAGCCTAGGCAAGAGAGAGAGACCCTGTCTCCAAAAAAAAAAAAAAAAAAAAGAAAAGAAAAAAAAGAAATTAACAATACTTACCGTATCTTGAACTTTCATTATATGCTTTGCACTAAGATAAGGGTTTATATATACTATAACACCATATTTAATTTACATAATAAGCCCTTGAAGTATTTAGCCCTATTTTAGAAATCAGGTTTTAGGCCGGGCATAGTGGCTCACGCCTGTAATTACAGCACTTTGGGAGGCCAAGGAGGGCGGATCATGAGGTCACCAGATGGAGACCAACCTGGCCAACACAGTGAAACCCCGTCTCTACTAAAAATACAAAAATTAGCTGGGTGTGGTGGCACACGCCTGTAGTTCCAGCTACTTGGGAGGTTGAGGCAGGAGAATTGCTTGAACCTGGGAGGTGGAGGTTGCAGTGAGCCGAGATCGTGCCACTGCACTTCAGCCTGGTGACAGACCAAGACTCTGTCCCAAAAAAAAAAAAAAAAATCAGGCTTCAGAGAGGTTGTATGAACTTTCCACAGCCACACAGCTTGTGTTAGGGTTCAGACTTAGATCCAAGACTAGTCTTGATCTTTTGATCTTTCACGAGTTCATTTAACATATAATCTTGAGTATTTACTACTCGTAACCCCTGCACAACAGTGCACGCCCCAGTGATACAGTATTATCTTTCAGTGAACACTCAAAGCTGGTACTGCAGAATCTTGGGCTATAAAGAGGACTCCTTATAATAATTAAACAAAGCATTTCACCTACGTTCACCATGATATTGCCTCACACTTCATTCTTTTCCGAAATCTTCACGTTACTTACTTATTCCAGCAAACACAAGAGATGAGGCTTCGCATGACTTGCCAGTAGAAAGCCGCCCTGTTTGGAGGGAGAGTGGAACAGCACACACGGACAGAATTTTCCCTCACTTTGGCACGCTGCTGATTAATTACCTGCATTGGCCTGCTGCGCAGGTGTCCTAGGCATTAGGATATGCCTTGTGTCTTCACGTGGCTCCTCATTAAATCCTTGCAGCTACTCTACGAAGTGCTATTATTATTATCCTCCATTTTACAAATGAGGATCCTGAGGCACGTGGAATTTCCCTCTGTGGGGGCCCAGGTTAAATCACTTGAAGTGTGGTGATGGAGTGGGGAACTGGATCCAGGAAGTCCTCCAGGCCTGAATTTTTGGTTCATGGTATTTCTCTGTGTGTTTTTGCAGAGTAAGTGGAGTTGAATTTCCCTAAGTTCACCACTCATGACATGATTCCGCCCCACGTCAACGACTCCAGGCTTATAGGGGTGTCCCTCTGTCTCCTCCAAAAGACCCTGGACTCCCTTTGGAGAAGGCATAGGGAGCTCTGCTATCTATCATAACTGTACGTTTCATCTGTGTGTATTCAGAGAAGAAGCTTACATTTGTACAGAGCAGGAGCTCGGTAAATGTTTGAGGAAGAAAAGAAGGAACAAAAAAGGGAAGAAAGGAGGTGGGAGAAAGAAAAAAGAACCAGAACAGTCTCTATGGAAGTAGGTCTCACCTTCTGCAGTTTCTTTCTTTCGGCCTCCACAGATGAGCGAACGGATTTGATTTCCACGGTGTGCTTCTTTACCAAGTCTTCCAGTCGCTTCACTAGCTGGTCTTTGAGATGTTTCTTCTCCTCTTCTGTCTGATGTTTGATTTTACGAAGGTCTTCTTCATATTGTTGCTTCATATATTCTGTCTCAGCACTTGCCTCTTTCTTGGTCTATAAAAAGAAAAAGGACCTTGTAAAACCGCTGGGGAGGGATGAGGAGCAGGGAATCACGATTTCCCTTTCATACAACCGTTACAAGGTTTATACATCATTTTTTACAGCACGTAGCACAAGGTGCAATCAATTTTACAAGACTATATATTTGATGTTAGTAAGAGTCTCCACCACTGGAAAACGACTTTTTGGAATGGTGTATCTATTATCATGAGATTGGATATTTCAGCCCATACTATGGTAGATTTTAAATAATGCTCTGCTTGTTTTGACTGGGGACATGCAATGAGATCCTAAGCCAGTTTCCAGTTTCCCAGAAGCCGATGACATAGCATTGGGAGGATTCTGCTACATTCTCAGTCTCCCGGTTTCCAATGGCATGGAGTAGGCAGTAAGTTGGCTGGAATTCTACTCCAGGAACTACAGGGTCTGCTGATTCCAAGTGGATCCACTATGTTTGGGAACTGGCCTCTACCTGATGCTTATGATAGATAGCAAAGCTCTCTGTGCCTTGTCCATTCCCAGGGCTGGGTCAGACACTACCTGCATATCTGTGCCTCCTTTCACGCAAGGGCACTCCTTGAGACAGCTTTGATCATGCTGAGGATGAAGATTGCCGGCTTCCAAGTCATTCTCTTCCCCCAGGACTTTGTTCTCTGAAACTAGCTCAGTCTTCCTGGCATCTGCAAGCATACATTTCAGCATTATTTGGGATGCTCTTGGCTGCAGCCTCTGGTTCAAGGCTTTCTGCTGTCAGGCCCCCATTCCACTTTTCAACCACTTTGTCCAACACCCCCTGTGTAATTCCTGCCCTGTGGTCTGCTGGTCCCCAAGCATGGTCAAGGTAGCAATTCTCATCTCTTCTCAAGAAGCCTCGTGAGCTTAAATAGCTGCCCTGCTCTCCCTTCCTAAATAATCTCCAAATCTTTTTGACTGCAGTTTCCATAGGTTAAAAAAATTGAGCATGTTCCAAATATACGTTCTTTTAATAGGAATTTAAAGGATGAAACAAAAACAAATATTTAATATAAGCAGAATGACTAAGTTTTCCTCCCATATTCTCTAAAGTACTCATGTACCACTTTTGAGACCTCTGCTCGAAATCCACAACACCTTTCTGGTTTCTCCAGAACCAGTACCTCTCCTTCTCTGCACCTTTCTGGTTTCTCCAGAACCAGTACCTCTCCTTCTCTGCACCTTTCTGGTTTCTCCAGAACTAGTACCTCTCCTCTGCACCTTTCTGGTTTCTCCAGAACCAGTACCTCTCCTTCTCTGCACCTTTCTGGTTTCTCCAGAACCAGTACCTCTCCTTCTCTGCACCTTTCTGGTTTCTCCAGAACTAGTACCTCTCCTTCTCTGCACCTTTCTTTCCCGTGGTGGCTTCTTTCCCATGCACGTTATTCGTCTGCTGCCTGGGTCATGTCTATGATACCAAAGCATGCTGTGGGCTGTAAGGTACAGACCCATGAGCTCCCTGAAGGCAGCTCCCAGGTTTTGTGCCTTTGACACTGTGTCCCAGTGTCAGGAGCTTTCTGTTGAGGGGCCTAGGGGAAGGCACTTAGAATCATATATTTTTGGACACAAGCAAGAGCTCTATCACCAACCAGTTGGCTGACCTTGAGCCAGCCACTTATCCTTTCTTGGTCTTATTTCTTCATCTGTAACATGAAAGATTGGCAATACTTTTTGGGCTGAGTGTGGTGGCTAACACCTGTAATCCTAACGCTTTGGGAGGCCAAGGTGGGAGGATCACTTGAGCCCCAAATTTCAAGACAATACTTTGTATTTAATTTCCTTCCTTCCTTCCTTCCTTCCTTCCTTCCTTCCTTCCTTCCTTCCTTCCTTCCTTCCTTCCTTCCTCCCTCCCTTCCTTCCTTCCTTCCTTCCTTCCTTCCTTCCTTCCTTCTTTCCTTCCTTTCTTTCTTTCTTTCTTTCTTTCGAGTTTTGTTGTTATTGCCCAGGCTGGAGTACAATGGCCCAGTTGCGGCTCACTGCAACCTCTGCATCCAGGGCTCAAGCGAGTCTCCTGCCTCAGCCTCCCAAGTAGCTGGGATTATAGGCACCCGTCACCACGCCTGGCTAATTTTCTTGCATTTTTAGTAGAGACAGGGTTTCACCATGTTTGCCAGGCTGGTCTTGAACTCCTGACCTCAGGTTATCCACCTGCCTTAGCCTCCCAAAGTGCTGGGATTACAGGCATGAGCCACCAGGCCTGGCCTGTATTTAATTTTTTAATTTTTATTTTTTCATAGAGACAGAGTCTCACTATGTTGCCCAGGCCGGTCTCAAAGTCCTGGGCTCAAGTGGCCCTCCCTCCTCAGCCTCCTAAAGTGTTGGGATTACAGGCATGAGCTACCATCAATCTGCCCAACCAGATGGACAATACTTATCACAAAATTATTGGAAAGACTCAATAGCATAATTGTGTTAAATGATATTAAAAGCATAAAGCATTGTGTAAGTGGTAGGGGGTGAAGGGAGTCAGTGCTAAGAATTTCAGGCACTGTGGTGAGCCTGGTGGGGAAATTTTTGGGGGCAAGGGGTCCTTTCACATCATACCTTTTAGATGTCCAACCTGAGCCAGATCCAGGTGAGGCAGCTGTAGGTATCAGCTCACCTGTACCCTGCAGAGATTGGTCTCACCCACCAGATGGGTCAGATCAAGCAGCCCTGCCCCTCCTCTCTGCTCCCTTAGCAGGCGTAAGGCTGCCAGTAGCACCAGACCAAGCTGGCAGCTAACCTTGGGTCTTTTAAGGAAATCATTCCAGGGCATCTCACCTGTCTTCTGGGTCCCACGACACTCCTGCAGCATCATTCTGTCTTTGGCAACAGCCAGCTTCTCCCCAAGTTTTTTTGCAGTGCCTTTCAACTCCGAATTCTCCTGTCGAGCCTCCTTAAGCTGCACATCCAGGTCCTAAACAGACAGCAAGGGTCCCATTTCTCTGGTTATAGCTCTGTATAGAGACATCCTGTGTACATAGAATAGCCATCAGACCTGAAAGGCAGGTATTGCACAGCAGAAGCCCTGAGTCTGTGGAATTCAGTGACCCAGGGCTCATCAAATCCCTCCTCATCCTCTGGTCTTCCTTTAGTGAGGATTAAATGAGATAAAGTGGTTAGAAAAAAAAATGCTCAGGGAATGTTAGAAATGTTAACTGCTTCTACTTTTAGAGATGGGGCTCTGTGCTTTTGTGGGGCTCACATAACTGAATCATCAATGATCCTGCTCTCTATAAACACAAAGTCCTGGGGATTTTAGGGCAGGCAGGTTGCTGTGAAACGAACAGGGGTTTATAGAATCAGGCTGACCTGAGTTCACTTATTAGCCATGTGCCAATGTAGGCTAGTCCTTAAGCCTCTCAATTTCGGTCTTAGCTTCTCATCTATAGACTGTAGGTTTCCAAGTTCTCCAATGTTAGGGACCAAGTCTAACTCACTATGTGTCCCTTGCCCATAGTCCTGGGCCTGGCAGATAGTCAGTGTTCAATAAATATCTGTAGGCGGGGCACAGTGGCTCAAACCTGTAGTCCCAGCACTTTGGGAGGCTGAGGCAGGTGGATCACCTGAGGTCAGGAGTTGGAGACCAGTCTGGCCAACATGGCGAGACCCCGCCTGTACTAAAAATACAAAAATTAGCTGGGTTGGTGGTGGGCGCCTGTATTCCCAGCTACTAGGGAGGCTGAGGCAGGAGAATTGCTTGAACCTGGGAGGTGGAGGTTGCAGTGAGCTGAGATCACGCCACTGCACTCCTGCCTGGGAGACAGAGTGAGGCTCCGTCTCAAAAATACACAAACAAACGAATATATATCTATTTTTTGTGTGTGGAACGAATGTAGTTGAATTCAATGGAGATAATAGGGCTCACCTCCTTAAAAAGCAAGTGTTTAGCACATTGCCTGACCTATAGCAGGTTCACAATAAGCAGCCCTGCTGATTTATCCCCCTAGGGGTTGTAAGAAGAGATGCTGCTTTACCTGAATCCTCTCCTTCAGCTTCTGGGCGTACTTCTTCAGGTCACTTATCTTGCGGCCTCTGTGCTCCAGGTCTCCTTCCAGCTTCCGGACCTGAGCCTGCAGGGCCGACTCCTGGACCTGGAAGTTCTTGCGGAGGTCCGACTCTTTCTCCTGCCACTGCCACAGAGCCTGGCTCACCGACTGCTGCATGGCCTGCCGGATGGCCTCGTTTTCCCGCTCGTAGGTGGCCTGCAGCTCCTCGGCCTTGCGGGCGTAGTCCTTGCTCAGCTGCTGGTTCTCTACTCGCAGCCGCTGCACCTCTAGCAGGACCTCCTGCATCTCTGGGCCCTGGCCTGGCTCTGACTTGGTATCAGGGCTCTCCTGGGGCGGCCGGCCCCGCGGGGGAGCCTCGTGGCTCATCAGGTGCTGGAGCCTCCTCTCGTAGTCAGCCTTGAGCTCCAGCATTTCCCTGGAGAGCGTGAGGACCCGCTCGGCGTGCTCCGCCTCCACCCTCAGCTCTCTCTCCTTGGTCTCCAGCCTGCAGGAGGCCGACTCAGCCAGCGCCTCCTGCGTCAGCCTCTTCTGCAGCTCCAGGGCGCTCTCCAGGGCCTGGATGCGCTGGAGAAGCGCCTCCTCCTCTGCACAGCCCTGTTCCTGCAGGAGCCTGGCCTTGGTCTCTGCCACCGCATTCTGGAGCTCCTCCTGGTGCGCTTCCCGCAGCGCCTCCATGCTGGCCTCAGCCTCATCCTGGCGGGTGTTCAGGGCATAAATCACCTGCGGGAAAATCAACAGAGCTCAATTAGGGCGAGGGGGCTGGGGTGTGGGAGGGCTGAGGAGACCAGAGATGCTTCTCCTGCATGGCGGTTGATCTGAACAAGAGGCACCTGAGAAGAGGATGTGCGTGGAGGGGATTAATTAGAAACTGTTCCCAGGAGAAGCCAGTGAGAGAGCTGGAAAGTGCGACAGGGAAGGAGTTGGGCTGGGAGCAGAGCAAAGGGGTGACGTTGCACAAAGGCCCCAAAGAGGGCAGCTTTGGCCGAATTCCAAAGGGGACCTCTACAGTACGGTGGGAATCCACCGAAGAGTTTAAAGCAGAGAAGTGATGTCATCTCATTTGTTCAGAAGGAACACTTTGGAATGCAAACCCCTGAACATAACACTTAGAAAACTGGACAGAGGCCAGGCACAGTGGCTCATGGCTGTAATCCCAGCACTTTGAGATGCAGAAGCAGGCAGATCACCTGAGGTCAGGAGTTCGAGGCCAGCCTAGTCAACATGGCGATCTGGTCTCTACTAAAAGTACAAAAATTAGCTGAGCGTGGTGGCGGGCACCTGTAATCCCAGCTACTTGGGAGGCTGAGGCAGGAGAATAACTTGAACCCAGGAGGCGGAGGTTGCAGCGAGCCGAGATCACGCCATTGCACTACAGCCAGGGCAAAAAGAATGAAACTCCATCTCAAAAAAAGAAAACAAACAAAAAAACTGGACAGAGTGGTATATAAAAAGGCCAGTATAACTTGAAAAGCAGCTAATGTAATACCCCACATCAAGAGTAAAGGACAAAAGCCACAGGATTGTCTCAATAGACACAGAAAAAAATATTTGATAAAATTCAACATATTTGCATGATAAAAAACTTACTCAACAAGCAAGGCACAGAAGGGACTCTTCTCAGCCTCATAAGGCGCATCTAGGAAAAGTCCCCAGTTAACACCATACTCAATGGTGTAAGACTAAATGCGTTCCTCGTAGGATCAGGAAGAAGACAAGGATGTCTGTTCTTCCACTTTTAACACAAAAGAAAAAAAGAATGCTTTCTTTGCTGTGTGAAGAACTGAATGAAGGAAGACAGGAGCACAGTGAGAAGCCCAGGAATCAAGAATGACTCCTAGGATGTTGACCTGAGCCACAGATTGGTGTTTTCTGAAATGGGAAAAACTGTAGGTAGAACAGGTAAGGAGAAGAAAATCGAGAAGTCTGATTTGGACGTACTAAGTTTGATGTGCCTCTGGACGTACTAGTGGAGACGGCACCAAGGCACACACACAGATAAATGTCTGGCGCTCAGAGGAGGGAGCCTGAGCTACAGATGAAGCGGGTGGAGTCAGGAGAGTTTTGTTGCTGTTTGCTTGATGAGAGAGAGTCCAGAACATATCTGTAGGATGATGGGAATGACCCCAGGGAGAATCCAGAAGCTGAAGCCAGGCACGGTGGCTCATGCCTGTAATCCCAGCACTTTGGGAGGCCGAGGCAGCGGATCACATGGTCAGGAGTTTGAGACCAGCCTGGCCAATATGATGAAACCCTGTCTCTACTAAAACTACAAAAATTAGCTGGGCATGGGGCGGGCGCCTGTACTCCCAGCTACTGGGGAGGCTGAGGGAATCGCTTGAACCCGGGAGGTAGAGGTTGCAGTGAGTAGAGATTGCGCCACTGCACTCCAGCCTGGGCGATAGAGCAAGACGCTGTCTCAAAAAAGAAGAAGAAGAAGAAGAAGAAGGAGAAGGAGAAGGAGAAGGAGAAGAAGAAGGGCATGGTGGCACATGCCTGTGGTCTCAGTTACTTGGGAGGCTGAGGTGGGAGGATCACTTGGGCCAGGGGGATTAAGGCTACAGTGAGCCGTGATCATGCCACTGCAGTCCAGCCTGGGTGACAGAGTGAGACCCTGTTTCAAAACCAAAACAAACAGAAGTTGAAGCCCCAGGAATAACAGTAGATAATAAAGGGCCAAAATCCCTGAGAAGGGTACCACAGAGATTGGTTTTAAGAGCCATGAGAACACATCCTCATGGGGATAGGATGGAAGGAAGAGGTGGAGACAGGTGTGTGGCACTTAGGACAGGTGAATGAGGGAGCTCTCACCTTGTAGACATGAGAAGGTGGCTAATTCTACGTTCTCAGTGGAATGAGACAAGGTCACTAACAGTGAGCTGAGCTGGAGGACAGGAAGAAAGCATAGAGGTGTGAGGTGTGAGAAGTTGTGAATTCATTTTCAGGATGGGGAAGCCAGTGGTCTACGTTACCATGTGGCATCAGAGGCTGTGTTGAGTTACGGTTCTCTCTGCTATACTGTGAGATTTTCCTTAGTCAGGTTCATCTGAATGAGTTCAAAGAAGGACAGGAAGGATGGATGGGTTATCTGGAGTTGGAGTTTTATTTGGTGGGTGTGACAGAAAGAGAAGACAAGGTATTTTCAAGAGCCAACATGCTGAAAAGGTGGAGCAGAAGCAGTTTTTTGGTGATAACAAGGCCACATGGCAAAGGGAGCGTGTGACTGAGGCCAAGTAGAGGAAAAGATCACCGGAGATAAGGGGGTCAAAGACTGAGAAATCCAGGGCAAGGTGAACCCCACATGAGATGTCCTCACTGAGAACAATGCAAGAGAAGCTGGGCTGGTGTAGACGCCGTGGAGTCAGATGCCAAACACGACACTGGCTCCCTGGGGCATTTACAATCAGAACAGTTTTCCTGAAGACTCTCCACCACCCCCTTTCACACGGATTCACTTTTAGCCTTTGTGGGTTGCTGGTTTTTCCTTATCCATGAGGCTGTCTATTGAACTAGACTCTAACTTCATTGCCAGGTTTCTACTACTGATTCACCCACGGTTTTCAAACTGCACTCCTTGTAGTCTTGAGTTCTCTGATGGAAGTCAGGGCAACATCAGGGAGCCTGGGGGAGGCTGAGCAAGTGGGGGCCCCTCATCAACCAGGGAAGAGCTTTCACACTCAGGCTTTCCTAGCATAGAGTTTAGAAAAAAAAAAAAAGGCTTTGTATGGCTTTAAAAAAGAAAGTCAAAAACTAGAGGCTTAGATAATCGTGAAATAGAAAGTAGACCAATTGGGAATAGTATATGAGAGGAAGTTTTGGGTGTCACTGTGTGCCTGTGTGTCTGTGCATGTGTGCGTTAATTATAAAATCATCATTGAAGGCCAGATGGCACCACTAGAGGTGACATGTGTAATAGATTTAACAACGGTTTACCTGGAGGCTGCAGATCTTGAAGAAAGCGTGTATATATATCCAGGACATAGCCTAAGTTCTTATTTTTCCTTGTCTCCGTCTGCTACAGTTATCCGTTTTTTGTCTGTCTTCCTCACCAGAATGTAAGCTTCAGGAGAGAGAGGCTTGGTCTTCCTTGTTCATTACTCTCTGTCCTCAGTGCTTGGCTCAAGTGGACACTCTACAAATTACTATGCGAATGAGTGAATAAAGGAGTCAGAACTCTATCTTGAAGAATGTAACTCAAGGTGTGAGATGAGTTTGACATCTTGTGAAGCCCTGGGAGAATAAGCACTACTTTGAGAACCATGAATCCAACACTCTGTCATGGACAGGAGAAGGAAGTCCCCTTGTCCTTCCAGGAAGATCCCACTATGAAACGAAGTGCTGTCTCCAAAACTCCTCCCTCTCATCACTTTGTGCACAGGATTTGGCCACTTTTGTTAATTTCTGTGACTTCCATCCAAGAATATATCTGGAAGCTGAAATTGGTTTCCCATTGGCTATAATTTATGTTAATAGCAAATACCATTTTAATCAAATTTACTATGTGCCTAGCACAGGGATAGGTGCTATATACACATTCCTAATCTCAGAGGATCCTCATGGCAACCCTGAAATTTGGTATTTTTCTGAGCAATTGAGATTCGGAGAAGTTCAGTAACTTTTGCAAAGTCCCAGAGATAAGAAGGTTTGAGTAACGTTTCGCGCCTGGTGCCACACTGCATCTCACCATCTCAGTCATTTATTCATTCGCGGATTCACTGCACATCTCGGATGTGGCAGGATCTGTGCTGGACACTGGGGTTACATGCTGGCCAATAAGACAACTGAATTTGCAACTTCAGAAATATTACAATTCAGTAGGAGAGTCAAACAAGAAAGTGGAAAGTTTCAATGCACTGCGATGAGTGCTAGGAGAGGATTCATCACCAGTTACTATGGAAACACAGAGGAAGTGGTCTGGGAGGAAAGAAGACTTCCCAGAAAAAAGTGGACCTTGCCTCCTCATCCTTGGGGTGACCAATCCCCTTTTCCATGTCAAGCTGCACATGGACAAGAACAATATCACTTATTTGGGCTGCTCAATAGCACTTGGTATAAAGTTGGGTATACAGTTGGTTCATAGTAAGTATCTGCTGTGGGGCTACTGTAAGTCATCAAGGATCCACGCTTTCCTTCCACGCGAAGAGCTACTGCAGAGCAGCCACTGAGCAGAGGCCCCATTTCCTAGCTCCTTGCATTGGGTGAGGTCCTATGCCTGGTGATTGCCAATGGAATTTGGGTAGATGGGGTGATGTGTGTCATCCTGGGGCCAATGTGGGGAAATTAAGAAGGGCTCATATTCTTTCCACAGTTTCTTTTTTCATTTGCAAACTTAATTAGGAGTCAGAGGCCTTAGAGGAAGGCAGAGTTCGAGATGGAAGGCATCCGAGCCCTGAAGGACCAGGGAGAAGACCACCTACTCCCTCAGGAACACTGTCATCGATCTTTACATCAATAACTACCGTGCTGAGCCTCTGACATCTTGGCATTTATCTGTAACAGCATCAATTAGTATCTGTTCGGGGTTCCCGAGACTAGCTCCAGGTTTAACCATTCATTAGAGGACTCGGAGGACTCAGTATATAGCCATGCTCAGGGCTATGATTTATGACAGTGAAAGGTACAAAGCAAAATCAGCTAAAAGGAAACATGCATGGGATGGAATCTGGAGGAAATCTAGGGGCAAACTTCCAAGGTGCCCACCCAAAATTAACACAAAATCAGAT